TCAATATATGGTCAAAATGGTACATTAGTAGTCTTACCTCTACAAGTGATAACATAACAACTGTATTAGATATTTTAAACTACATATAATCATTATTAAAATTCGAATTTAATTACACTAAAAATAAAAATAAAATAAATAATATAAGTATGATACAAGTATATAAATCAAAAGCATCATGTTATATATATAAAAAAAAAAAAAAAATGTTTTTCATAAGTTTGTTTTAAATTACAAATAATTATGTGTTTTTAGTTTTATTTTTAAACTACAAATTTAATTTTAAAGATTTAATGTTATCCAATACATCAAATAATTCGAATCCTTACCTTTTTCTCGATGCAAATCTCAAAAAAAATATTTGAAAAATTACAGTTGTTAAAAATAAATTAGAAAAAAAAAAGCAAAAATTTATCTCCCTAACATGTACCATGTATAATGAATTTTGCGATCAGATAATAATGTTTGGAAGTTCTTGGATCCAATTTATTGTGTGTTAAATTCATAGACCTTATACCTTTAAGGTCTATGGTTAAATCCGCATTCAGATTATAATTGTTATTATTATTATTATTATTATTATTATTAATATAATTGATACAATATTAATATGCATTAATGAATTCTCCCGGTATAATTTTCTGCAAAAACTCAGGGCTGAAACTAAAGTAAAATAACGTAAAACAATACAATACAAGTAAAACATTTTAAAAGCTCCTTATTTAATGTGATCAGAAAAATGAGGACATGAAGAGGAAGTTTTGTGTCACCACCGTATAAATTATTTCGTTCAACTGATAGAATAAAACAATGTATTATATGTATTATACATATATAATAATTTAGTTTTGTAATATGCTACTCTTATTTTATTACGATTTCAGAATTATCAATTTTAACATAATAACTCATAATTTTGGCTGCTCTTTAGAAACAGCACCTTGAGCTATAATAATCAATTCTTTATTTAGCCAGCTATTCATGGTTGCATTATGACAGTGACTATATATCAGTGACGTAGTCAGAAAAATATTTTGGAGGGTTTCCAATTTTCAATTTTCTCCTACTAAATATCAACTTTTTAATATTTAATAAGTCGATTAAACATAAGTTAAAATGAAATATGTTATTATTTAGTTCACTTACACTGTAAAAATTGTTTAATGATGACTACATATTACATTATACAAATGTCTTAAAATCATTGTATACTTCGCATAATAAGAGTGATATTTCAGGGGGGGGGGGGTTGTGACCCATTAACCCTCCGGCCACTGATAATAATACATTATAATATATGCTGTGCAAAGTCGTTCGCGATCAGATAGAATTGAATCGGCCGACATTATGTTCGAGAAACGCGTAAATTATGATGGAATAAAAGTGATTTAGTAATGTACTGATATACGTATTACGAGTGCACGAAACCGCGAGAGTCCGAGCACGCGTCAACGTTTTTCCATCGTATTTAGCGTAGTGCAAAATATAATATGTAATAACGTAGTAGTATTGCGTACCACTTGTGTGCGCGTATAAATCGAATACACCGGTCTGTATGCTCATCAACGATTGTTGCTTAAAAATAAATAAATTGTTTTGAAACTTCATCGTAAACACACCATAATAGCAACAATAATAAAATAGTAGTAGTAATAATAGTTGTGATATTATACACACACTCTCGTCACTATGTTAACTTCAATATAATACTTGTGTGTGTGTGTGTGTGTGTGTGTGTGTACAACTATGCCCATCGACGACGGGACGTAGCTCGTACCGGTACAAGTATTACACACGTTCTGTACGACAACATCTACGGTAATGTTGTCTGCAGTGGAATAAACTACTAGAATTTTAGCGGCGTACTATTAATTTATAAAAATAATAATAATAATAACGAAACGCGTGCGAGTTCGAATACCAAATCGGACGATGACGACGACGATCTATGCCTGTCTCCTTCGGCAATGGCGGTGATTTTATCGTTTTAAAATGCGCAACGTTGCCCGATCGACGGGGAACGACGACGCATGGCGGCGATAATAATTTGTCGGACACGTAGTTATGTTTTATTTTTATTATTATTTTTTTTCCTTTTCATACCGATCGTAATGGGTTTACATTACCATTACGTTACATAATATACTTGTTACGTACACAGTACTACAGAATATATTACTCGCGTACAAGTGTTGGACTACAATTTACTAGCAATAAGAAATTCTACACAAAGTAAACAATGATTTTGTACAAAGTAAAAATCACGTTTCGTTGATTTTCATCACTGGCATACAAGCGTTTGTCTTTTTGAAAAAAAGTAGACAACTTTCTGTGGTTTTAAAATTTCGACTTTTGCAAAAAAATTTTCAAGAAACCGTGTACTCAAAAATGTTGAAACAAATGGATATATATGGATATATGGTTTTATGGTTGTTTGATCAATATGTGTAGAGCCTATATTAAATATTTTGACATATTTTTATGTGTAGTATTATTTAATATCAACATTTTTCTTATTCGATATTTAACCTTTTTTTGTTTAATAATTGAACATTTTATTAGAGCAAGTGCAAAACACAACTTGTATATATTTTGTGCATCAGTATTTTTTATATTGGTAAGTGTAAAATATCGAGCTTTGTACTTATACACATTAATAATGTATTCTTTGTATATAACCATTATATGCGTATCCACATGCATATATACTAAAATGGTCTGTTATACTTGGAAAAAAAGAAATGATAATTTACTCAAGCGTAAACTTTAGTGATGTAAAATAAGCAAAGGAGTTTTATTTTTATCGCAAAAAAATTAAAGTACATCACAACAAAAATATTTTTCTCTACACGCGTATGAATACATATGCAAAAACGTCGAATTATTAAAATAGAAGTACTTAATACTGCATAAAAGATTATTTTACGCGTACATCAAAATTTAAATTAAAACTAATTAAATTTAATTGAATTAAATAATATCGAATGAATATAAGGTAAGTTCCAATTATATTTTCAGCGTACTCATTCGATAAGCATAAGGATAACATTATTACGCATTATATTCGTATAACCGTAATTAATTATTGTTTTTCGAACTAGTACCTTAACATCTATTCGTGGAACAAATGGAAACATTTCTGGCATTTCTTATTACTTACCCATTATAATATCGTACGCATAGCTAGGTACCATGTATATTTGAATCGAAACATTTTTATTCGAATACTTTTACGATTTATTGCGAATCATTTAACATTTATTTAAAGTGATTCGCAATGTAAAAGTAAATAATATGTACGAACAATTGTCGGTACTTGTTTGAGCTACTTCCGTGGCTAGTTCACATGCCTATGATCAATGTTTTTTTATTTCACCTTTGGTAGTTATCGTTCCCTCCTTCAAAAATTTTGTCTACGATACCGACATGCATACGGTACAGTAGTAGTGCTGACAACTGTGTACACGGTAATTGTGCATTTCCGCTGCGGTGCGTACACGTTATTATTACCATACCCGTAAATGGTAGGAAGCGGTAAAAAGGTTACACGCACGTGGCGGCGAGTCCATAGATGCGACGGGCACAAGTTGCGCGGGATCTTCCACGTACTCGATTATGCGATATCGGGAAGGGGGTACAGGTACCTTATCCCACACCATAATTTTTTCATCTCCGGTTTTACATCAACGGAAAGCAACGCTCGCTTGTGCTGCACATATTACAAACGTACAGCGCAACGACGAAATATCTGCCTTCGGAAGAACATGCATTATTTATTTATCAGATTAAACCGACATATTGTTAAACTCGCCGAGAAGAACATTGTCTGTGTGTATTCGTAGGTTTTTTTACGATACATAATTTTTAATCAAATGCAACAGGCTGAAAAACTCATAGATCGCTTGAAAACTTTCGTAGAAAAAACAATGAGAAGACGCGCAGATAATATCATGTACCGACGCGAATAACACCATTGCGTCTTACACGATAACGTTATACGAGCTGTTAACGGATACACCGGCGACACACGGACACAACCGTGGCACGTAAATTCGCAAGTGAAGATATTGTAATATGTGTCTGATTAGATACTGTTCCAAGTAGGTACCCCATCCTATCGATCCCCCACCCGAAATAATAAAAAAACAATCGATTCTCGATAACTCGAATGTCAAGGGAGTAAAAAATTAATTCGACTTATGTATTTTTCGAGTTACATAACTCGAATTTTTTTAAAAATACGAAAATATTTGAGTTAGATATTATTTTTTATTTATTTAATTTTCTTTTATTAAAAATATTATTATGTACCTATGTGTATAATTATTAACTACAATAGCGATTAAAAAAATTAATTTTAAACTAATTTCATATGTACCTATGTATTTATTAAGTAAAAATGTTTTAAAAGATTACATTTTAAAATACAATATATGTATGATTCTGAAAGTTTAGAAAAATAACTTGAAATAAGTGTTTGACGTTCGGGTCGTTTTAAAACAAAGTTTTCAATTTCCCCCCTAGAACTTGAAAAGTATTTTATCTGCGCACCTTCGGTTTTTTCAATGAACACTCTTACATTATCGAGTGATGCTTTCGCTTCTATTGAAGCGACAACTAACGGATTGTTCTAATGATAAAATGTAAGAAATTACTTCGAGCTGTCTAAGCTCAACTATTTTGACTCATCACGACAAATATTGCATCGAGTGTGTAGGGATTTCCTAGGGACGAAAAAACCAAAAATTCGAGTTGTCGAGTTTTTCGAGTTATCGAGACTCGACTGAATTAATAAAAAACAACAGATAACGCGCGATCGGGCTCCACCACAAGACGTTATCACACGGCCTGCCGAAATTACGACAAACGTACGGCGTGTGGTGCACCGTACCTGTTGCACGTGTGTCGGACACGAGCGCGCACACACTCACGCACACGAACACACACACATACACACACACACGTGCCCACACGCGACCACGTCGCCGGTGCCGAGTCCGATTCGCCGCAGTCCGTTACAATATCACGTCTGGACAATAGCTCCTCGGCCGGTCCCACGCGTACGATCTCCGAACGTTGCCCGCCGTCGCGGTCGTTTTCCTTTACACGCGCAAACGCGCGCGCGCGCGCGCACACGCACACAAACGCATCCGAACACGCGAGACTTGACTGAGTAAGTGTGTCCGCCGAGCTGATCGGATTTTTTTGTTGTTCTATAGTAAACATTTTTTTTTTTTTTTTTTCAAACCATCTCATTGTTGGGTGGACGTTTTTGAAAATTTACATCTTACCGGGGTGCGATAAAAATAAAAAAAAAAACACCTACCTACCCCGAAAAAATTTTGTTCTCACTTTTTCTTCGTTAACTTCATAACTCTCAATGTATATTTTAAGCTAAGTATTTTGTTTTCGAGTATATTTCGATCACGTGAAAATACTGAAAACTGTAGCTCGCCAACTGGTCGAAATGTTCGAAATCAATAATGATTATATACTGCTCGCCCGTGCGCTGCATATATTGATAATCACTGGGATTTGCAAAGCTTCGAATTGAAATTGTCTATCAGTTCTTACGCGATATCTATTTTAATTATTATATTGGTAGCACCTCAAGTGACTTACTTACAACGCCAGGGCTAGAGACTCAAGATTTTAAGTCCTTAGAGCTCAAATGCTCAAGAACAATTTTTCAAAAAAAAGCAAAAATATATTAGCACTAAAAGTGCCTATTTTCATAAAAAAAAACGAGTTTAACATTATTTAAAATATTTATTCACTTATTTGTAATAACAATGCTTCTTATATATATATATATAAACAATATATTTATTTTTTTTATATATCTCTTGTTAATATACCTGAATAAATAAAATTTAAATTAACCGTATTGAGAAGGTTCATCAAGAATATAAAGAATTTTTGTATATATTTTAATAATTACGAATATTTTTAATTGTGTGTTTTACTTTGATTTATTCTTTGATATTGTAAAAAACAAAACCTTAATAAATAAAAATGTTCTTAGTATTCTAACATTCATTGTACAATACAGTATTATTCGCCTATGTAAAATAAATAATTGTTAATTGTTAAATTCAAAGTATTTTTCAATTAGTTTTCATCACCGTTTATTGTTTTTGTTATATGTGATAAAAAAGCAATAAGATGTTTTTAAAGAAAATAAATAAGACATAATTTAAATTAAACTAAAATTACTTTTCTATCACTAATCTTATAGCCAAACACTCTTATAATGTTTCAATAGAATATTCCATACATTTAATTACTATGTATTTTAATATGATTTTTTTATTTTATTATTATTGTAATTATTCTATTAAAATAGACTTGTATGTACTTACAATATATAATAACAATGATAATAACACTTTTTTTAATTAAAATGTATATATTGATTATATGTTGTATGTGTAACTGACAAGGAAATATAACTTGGCAGATATACATATATCATCATATTATTTTTTAAAAACTATATAGCCTGTAGTTAGCCTGTAGGTACATTTAATATAATTGTATATAACAATAAGTATGTCATCTCGTCAAAATAAGACAGAATATTTTTATTTCACAACTTAACAACTTGTCTCTCAGCTAAATTCGAGTTATATTAGTTCATTTGAATCAAATTATTTATACAAACAATTTTTTTACATATTTCCTTAATCGAACATTATGCTGATTTAGCATAAAATGTCCATATATTATTTATGAATATAAAATAACTAAGTAATAATTTTTAAAACTTGTTTGAAAATACATTAAAAAATATTTCTACAATTTTAAAATAAAATATAATTTTTTAAACTAAATTATTATACACACATGGTTATTTCCAAAATAATATACTAAGATATCATTTTGATAAATATTTATTCATTTTAAGCGTATATAATTTAAATAATGTTGCTCATTATATCATTTTGTACGTTATGGTTAACTCTTTTAATATATTTTAGCTATACAATTTTTTGACTAGTAATTTATATTGTTAAAATATTAAATAAGTAATATATTTTAAAATACACTTTTATCAACGGGTCCTATATTCTTATACTTGTATATTATTTTTGATAAATTACGATGGACGACTTTCATATAATCGTCAATAAATTATATAATAAGATTATTTTAACAATTTCATGCATGAATTTGAATGAACATGTTTATCTGAAATAATGTTTCTCAATACATAATACGTAAATAATCTTTAGATGATAATCTACTTATTATTACATATCTGTATATAGACTGACGATCACGAAGTATTTCAATGGTATAATTAATTATTTCAATGGTACATAATCAATTAAAATACACGAATATTTCTATTGTCATACGGTACATTATTTAAAATGAGTCTAAGTTACTGGCACAAATCACTTTAATTAAAACCAATGATCGTTAAATTTCTTTCGGAAAAATAGATACATGATAGTTTTAAATACTCACCTGGACAAGTTTATAAACATGCATTTTTTATTAAAAATTATCTATTCTATAGATACTGACTATATAATATATAATAACCATTGTACATAGTTATCGATTCACATTTTGAGCTAATTCTTGGCTAAGAAAAAAAAATGTACAGTATAATTTTGTTTTTTTTTTTTTTATATTGCATGTTATGCCTATCTCAAAACTCTTGTACTTTAGTATCTATATTTTTCTGTATTTACTTACCACTTCTCATTTTTCTTGAACATTGTTTTCTGAAATTAAATATTAGTTCATAATCTCATACAATTTAAATTAACATGAAATATTTTCAAATTTTGTTAGTTCTTCCTGATGATCCATGAGAAATAATTATTTGAATTATTTTTAAGGTAATGAATATTACTAATTAACGTGTTAAATAAAAAAATTCGACCTCGATCTTGTTGATGAACTAAATGACCATAACATGTACGTTATCAGTGGCTTAAATCATCCATGTTTCTGCGTTTTTCCTTGACGCTCGTCACATCTATAAACATATAAGTAAACGTATATTATGTTATTTAGTTGAAAATCCGTACCTTGAATGCTGAAATCTCAAAAGCATTGTGATGGCAGCAACTGTATAATAATATAATGTATTTGATATCCAAGTTTACGCAATGATAATAATGTAAAAAAACAAGTTGTCATCACAATATCTATTAATTTCGTAAATCATATAAAACAAAATTTATTTTAACTTTTTAAGGTAAAAACAATAAATAATATAAAATTTTGATTTTTACTCACTTTACAAGATTATTTATATCTTACTAATCCGTCAGTTTTCGCCGCATTATACATTATTACGTATGAATTCAACAGATTTAACATTATCCTCATATTATGAGAATAATATGAGTCTCTTATTATTATCAAACTATCGAGAACAAGTCAAGTGTCCATTTTAATCTCTCTTCACATGTACTACCATTGTTATTTGTTTGCAATCATCTGTTCATTTCGTCTTATTGTTTTTTTTTTTTTTTTCTATTATCGAAGACCCATTTTCAAAAGTATTCAAATACAATGGGTTATATTTTAAAAGTGTGCATAACACTCAAAAAAATTAATCATGGTACTATTTAGATAAGTCACGATACAAACCATCTTGTACTCAATTTATATTTTGTGCGATACACGAATTCATATTTGTAAAGAAGCTAACTTTTCTCGTGACTCGTTCACTGTTTCACGTCCCAGATTAGTTATTATTTAATAATAATTGCACTCGTATTTGTCTCTCAACTTGAGATAAACATCTCAAGTGGAATCTAAATCCGTATAAATAAGCATCTTATTTTGTTTTCTTCAAGAAATAGACAAAATACAGGCACAACCAGGTACTTCTATAGAGAATGAGGTTGCTTGTTTGCGGAAATATTCTCTTAAACCGATTATTACGTAAACGTATAGTACAACATTTTTCTTTCCAAATATTATAAAGTATTATATATATACATATTATATTCAACTCTAATAAAGAGTGTACTTTAATTATTTCACACTGCATACAAAAAATGAACATTATTTAACGTAATAAATAGAAAATATATCTTGTTTATATTTTCTTTTACACAAAATAAATTATGTATTATTCAATAATAAATTTAATTAAAAGTTATTTTCTACTAATAGTACAAGAATATTCCCTTTTAGTATATTAAGTTACTGTTTACTTATTATATTGATAAGTAACCTTCACTCAATAACTCTTATTGAAATAATTGTTTTGGGTAACTAACCCCTTGAAACATTCTTCATAAATTAACTAAACGTATATTTTAAATGGATATAACATAATTAAATTCTATACTAAAATATATTATCATAATAATAATCAAATAACAATAATTTTAAAACTGTATAAATATATCATAAATAAAAAATTTAATTTTAAAATCACAATAACTTTATTTCATAAATCATTTCGAATGTTTCAATTATTTTTAAAAACCAATAATACCATTCATTAAAAAAAAATTTTAAATAATAATAATTTGTTAGTCTAAATAATAAAATGTATGTATGTCTTAAATATTGTGTACATTAATATTATATAATTTTTAAAGTATAGCAATTGAAAAGTTTTTTTACTGTCCACGTTTTTGATCAATAAAACATGAATTATTTTTTAGTGCCTTTTACTAAAATTAATGATGTACTGTATGAAAGTTAGTCATATGTATTTTGTATCTATAACTTATAACAATGACAACTTTGTATCTCTTTTAAATTAATTTGTTAATAGTTTACAATACTTTGATTTAATTAATTTGTATATTTACCATATATCTTACCTTTGTTGTATCTTGTAAATCTTATTTATTTTTCATTGAAGTTTTTGCTTTGCAATTGAACTTTAATAATAAGTATATAAACTAGGGACTAAAAATAGTATATGTTTATATTCAATTACATAACTTATTTTCAAATTAAATGTAATAAAAAATACACATGAACTGGAATTTACAATTTCACAATTTATACATTTTAATTATAAACGACTTGAGATTGAAATATTCGAAACATTTCCAACTAAAGAGCACATTTTTACATTTTAGCTAACAAATTTAAAAAAAGTTATAATTAGGATTGTACTCTCTCTGATATACTTGCGGATTTTGAATATAACTTATAGACAAAATATTTAATTATTATTTCCAT